TAGGGGTTGATTTGCCACCATTCACTGAGTATAGGGGCTGATTTGCCTTTTTACCTTTTCTTTTTAAGATTTGAATTGTCTTATGTAATTTCGATGTACCGGCACGGTAAGTAAAATATCTACAGTACACCGGAATTTAACTGAAAAAATAAAAATTTAACCGAAACAAATTTTAACTTTAACAAATTTTAACCTTATACTATTTCAATTTAATTTAAAAACTAGTACATACTGATAATATCGATCAATACAAAATGAATCTAATTTCTCTGCCCCCAACTCCCTTTCCACTCAATCCAACTGCACTCTCATTTCCCATCACATATTCTCCAGGGTATTCTTTATGTTACCAACTTAAAAGATTATATTACATTCCATTACGTTAAGAGTTTTTTTTTTTTTTTGGGTAAACTACACTAATAGTCACTCACCTTTATCATAACTTTCAATTTAGTCACTATCTTTCTAAACTTGTAAATTTAGTCATTGACCTTTCTTTTAATATGTTACCGTTCATCACCTCTGTCATCTTTTACAAATTCCATTAAATGATAAAATAGATGATAATGTTGGAAGATGGCATGGCATTTAATGAAATAAAATTACAGTTTAACTCAAAAAAATAAAAGTCAATAAGTGACAAGAAAAAAAATAACACATTTGTAGCATTAATTAAAATAATTTAGTAGATAAACTACACAAATAATTATTCACCTTTATTATAACTTTCAATTTAGTCATTGTCCGACTAAATTGGAGTAGATAGTCACTAACCTTTCTTTTAACATGCTGCCTGTCATGACTCGATTTTTGATTTAGTTTATTTAGACTTTTCATTTAAAAAAAACATATATATCCTTTAAAATTGATCAAGGAAAATCATAAAAATTATAAAATGTCAAAACAACACAAAAATATAAAAATATGAATTTTTTTTCGTTTCTTTAACTAACATATATTTTATTTTGTTTCAAGTGCTACATGCCAAAAGAGAAAATTTTGTGAAGAAATTTGAAAAAAGAACAAGAAAAGGACTTAATCAAAGGAATTTAAAATCTGAGGATGAAATCTACCAAGATAAAGCCACAAATCCAGTCCAAACCCCAAATATTGAGCCCACTAGCCCACTTTCACAAACCAGCCCATTAAAACCCAAACCCAATAACAAAAAAAGCCCCAGTTTTCCTCTCTTCAACAAGGGGGAGCCACACCAAAAAGAGAGGGGGCGGCAGAACCAAAAAAAAAGGAGGAAATCTCTCTCGAATCTCGATCCTTCTCTCCCCGAAACCTTCAAAAATTTCAGCCACCATCACCACCGTCGCTCACCCACAGACCCTCTAACCTCAAGAGTACCCCTTCATCTTCGGGCATTCCTTCATCTTCATCTTTCATCACAACAGCGCACGACATCCCTCGAAATCCATCTCCAGATCTGTTTGCCTCCGCCCCGTAGCAGTTGCAGGCAACCATCTTCGTCTCACAGCAACCGGGCAGCCTTTGGAATCCACCACAGCTTCTTCTAGTTTTCAATCATCTGTTGCTCCATTTTCTGTTGGTATTCTCTCAATCAGAGGAGTTTTTGGGGCAGCAGTGAGTGGAATGATCCAGGCCTGATCCCGTGGGTGAGATTCCCCCAGATCGGACTCTGATCGGCTACCTAAAACCTCTGCCATTTTCTTGTTATTTACTGGAATTGTTGCTATTGTTCTTAAGTGAAAATGATATGGATTGAGGTGGATGTGATGAACATTTCATGTATTTGGTAGCTTGGGTTTGATTCCGTTTTTTAAAATTAAAAAAAAAAAAAAATTTGTTGCAGGATTCGTTTCTTTCTTTATTTTGGTTGCAGTTTGTTTTATTGGAATCATTGCAATTAATCTGTTTTTACCTGCTTGGGTCAATGGATTTTGCGGAAATTATGGACTGAAACAAAACAAAACAAAATAATAATAATAATAATAAAAATAAATATAATCGTATAAAAATAGAAATTGGTTCGTTCTTAATTAATCTTAATTGAAATAATTAATTGATTTAATTGTCTTTTATTAGAATATTTTGATTTATCTAATTGTTCTAATTAAAGGTTGATTAACTCTATGAACTATTTAATTAATTCTAATTAATTCCTAATCAATCAGGTTTAATTACGTTTAATTTGAGTGATCACGTTAAAAATCAATCATCTTTATTTTAATGTTACTTTTGTCCAACACTTTTTGAAATCAAGCAATTCAGTGCAGAAATTTAAAATCTTTTCATATCAGTCCATTTAACTTTTTATTTATGGTCATTGTGCATGTATATTCTCGATTTTGTCTATTTTAATCCAAAAAATTTTAAAATGTTGCAATTTGGTTTATCCTTTTTTTTAAGTTTGTTTATTAAGACCTAAACAAATTTAAAAGATATTAGAAATTATGAATTAAAATAGTAAATAATAGTTAAAATTCAATAAGAAACCAGTTTATGCAAATTTTTATTCCATGATCAATGTCTTAACCACAGCACCTTAACTAAGCTTTCTAAGGCTCTGATTCATTCACAGGGTGTGAATGATGCTTCAAATAACAGATTTTCCAGTCAACTTATATAATGGTTGAAGAGAACCTAATCCAACAGAAACGAAAGATGGTAAGCAACGAAGTACAACACATACAAGCTTAATTAAGCAACAATGCAATTAACAGGTTTTAGCCAATCATCTCCTTGATAAAAGAAGCAAGGCCCTTTTAAAATAACACACCAGTATGAATTCCATTTTCATGATTAGAGATTCTGGCTTTGACAGAAGATTAGAGATCGTCATTGTTTCTCATTTTCATGCGAATCAAGACATGTAAACTAAAGAACGGTTCCCCATAGACTTCCATCCAATTCAAAGAGAAATTTTAATTGCAAGAAAACCATGTAAGTACTCGAACCCAAGACCTTCACAGATTCATAGCTTCATATATTATGTATTTTTGAACCATTTAATTCAATACAAGTCAGACCAAAAATGAGGGATGAAAGGAAGGCAATAGTCCTCTAGCATGGTAGGAATTTGAGTTAGCACCAAAAAAGCGAAAAGAAGAAGAAGAAGAAGAAGAAGAAGAGAGAGAGATAGAGAGAACAGAGAAAACAAGGAATCTGCAAAGGCAACTGTTATCCCAAAAAATCTCCTTGACACGTGGCAGATGAAATGGCGTGCCACTTGGTTTGCTCAAAACAAGAAAGATTTCTCCGACGACCCTCTCTTCTTTCCAAGCGTGGAACTCAGCTTGTGAGTTGATGGAAGAACGTCGTAGATTGCACCTTAAAGATCAGACGATTGGTAGAAACGAGGGATGAACTTCCCGCACTAAATGGGTTATACGACAAAACACCTTGGATATGATTCCAAGGACTCCTCAAAGCTAATGTAATCAAGAAAAGTTAAGGCTGCAAAGTAAATAAATGATCGCTAAACTACTGAAAATCTAAATGAACTTTAAATACGCAAACTGAATTGAAACAGAGTTTTAAAAGGAAATTTAATTACAGCAAAAGTAAATTAAGTTAAAGTAAATGAAACCCAAAGCATGAAAAATCTACTGGCAGCATGAAATGTAAATTAACAGAAATGGAACTGAACATGAAATTAAATGTCGACATCATTTGATTAAATTAAAGGAAATCTGGAAAACAAATATAAAGGAAAGAAAGCAATCCGATTACAAAGAAATATTACTGAAGGCAGCAAAACTCACCATTACAAATTCGACAAAAGAAGAACCGAATTGCTAAACTAATCTAGGTTGAAGCGTAGAGCTAAAATTAAATTAAAGGGCTTGAAACTAAGATAAATCTGAGTATAAAGAGAAGTTGTGCTGAGTCTGTTGTGTGAGATGTCGATCCTTTGTTTGATCTTATCATTAGGTATTTATAGCACATTGGCAACATGGTGGAGATCTGCGGCAGCATAATATCTGCAACAAATTGATTAATTTGTTGGTGCTGCGATTATCCTCCTGAAAGCTCGCAACAAAAGAACGATTTTACTGCCGTTGTGGAAATAACCACTCAATCTCATCTGAAGAAATCCACACCAACTTCCAACTAATAAAATATCTGCCATCATAGGTGACACGTGGCAGCACTCCATTTGTTGTAAAATTAGGTGTAAACAGCAACTAAAAAAAATAAGAGAGAAAAAACCATCGTTATTTGTTTGAATTTTTTGTTATTATTAACAACGGGATTAATAGGATTTGGTTGTTGAAA